CTCGTCGTCGCCCACCGTGGATCTTTGTGCGGCACGCCTCGCAACTCTCCTTCTTTCCACAGGGGGCCGAGCTCCCGATACCTGCCGCGCGAAAGGATGATGGTCAAAGGGAAGACACAGCAGCGGAAGCCACATGAGGATGTAATGGGACATGCGGGGTGATGGGGAGTTGGAACTAAACGACAAGAGAGGAGGTGAGAGGACGAGGAAGAGGAAGCCGAGGGGGAGAGAACTGCCAACGAGGCACAACGGTATTGCGGCATGAGGACCAATCCCAGCGACAAACGAAGCAGAGAGGGAACGGTACAACGACAATGTACTACAACAGTCTGCCATGAATCACATCCTTGTGCGCACAAGCGGCCATGCCATAAACATTGTCTTGCGCAACAGACAATGGCGTACCGAAAAATAAACATGACTGTGCTGCTGACATGTGAATCACGGAACTCGTGGGCGAGACGCCGTGCAACCGTGCTGGATACAACTGCAACAGTGGAGCCGAATCACATATAACTGCGTCCCGAAATGGTCAACAGCGACATCGTCAACAACTTCGCCACCCCTGTAGACGTAGGTGGTCGAGTGAATCAGCTCTTGCAAGATCCGCCGGCCCCCTTGTGGGGCCACCAGGCTGTAGGACCGTGATTCGCAGTTTCCTGTACCAGTTGTAGTTTGTAGTTTCCAGTGTTACAGTTCTGCTTCTTGCTGGTTACTGTAACTAGTTGATTGACCGCGCGAGGGGGGGGGAGGCCCAAACAATACTTTTTAGCGTCTCCTGGGCGCGTTGTCTGAATTGCTGGGGGGGCTCGAAATCGACACCCCTCACGCAGATCCGCGGGGTCAGGGTCCAAAAACACAAGGGATTTGCCACATTTCTGAAATTCGGTGCCACCCCTCACGCAGATCCGCGGGGTCAGGGTCCAAAAACACAAGGAATTTGCCACATTTCTGAAATTCGGTGCCACCCCTCACGCAGATCCGCGGGGTCAGGGTCAAAAAACACAGGGGATTTGCCACATTTCTGAAATTCGGTGCCACCCCTCACGCAGATCCGCGGGGTCAGGGTCCAAAAACACAGGGGATTTGCCACATTTCTGAAATTCGGTGCCACCCCTCACGCAGATCCGCGGGGTCAGGGTCCAAAAACACAAGGGATTTGCCACATTTCTGAAATTCGGTGCCACCCCTCACGCAGATCCGCGGGGTCAGGGTCCAAAAACACATGGGATTTGCAACATTTCTGAAATTCGGTGCCACCCCTCACGCCCGCGGGGTCAGGGTCGCAGATTTGCCACATTTCTGAAATTCGGTGCCACCCCTCACGCAGATCCGCGGGGTCAGGGTCCAAAAACACATGGGATTTGCCACATTTCTGAAATTCGGTGCCACCCCTCACGCAGATCCGCGGGGTCAGGGTCCAAAAACACAGGGGATTTGCCACATTTCTGAAATTCGGTGCCACCCCTCACGCAGATCCGCGGGGTCAGGGTCCAAAAACACATGGGGATTTGCCACATTTCTGAAATTCGGTGCCACCCCTCACGCAGATCCGCGGGGTCAGGGTCCAAAAACACAGGGATTTGCCACATTTCTGAAATTCGGTGCCACCCCTCACGCACATCCATCGCAAGGCGTGGTAACCCAAACTGCGAGTACTCCCTCGGCCCTTTAATCCCAAGGTGTGGTAACCAAGCTCGTAAACCATACACGTCTTACCAATCGCCCTGTGTGGTAACCCCTCTTGTGATCAGTTGGTTTTGCCGATTGCGAATCGGCCTCGCATGAAGTTCCGATACTGCTGCACGACAGCGCCAAAGCCTCATGACTTAGCTCTTCCATGGCCCATTCTCCGAGAGAGGGGGCCGGCGGCAGGGGGCGAAGCCCTTACGGATAATTCCTTCTTCCAGTTCACGGACGGGTTTAACCTCCTTCTTTCTCAAACCACAACACCTCCCCCATCGCCTGTGAACTGGAAGCGGCTGGCAACTGGACGTGGTGGCCAACCCTGGCCAGCCGCGGCGAGAAGGACCAACCACGGATAAAGATCTTTACTGGGCAAAGGCACGGATTGTGTGTTCGGGGGAGGCCCGTGGGGAATCTTCAATACTCTTTTGGGGTGTCGTTGAGGCCCTGGTGGTGTTCGGGCCTCTTGGAGGATTTCGGGCGTTCCCATGGCGGTTTTGAGGCATGTGCGGAAATTGCTTGTTGGTCAGACTCTCGGATCTGAGCGTTTGGAAAAGGCTTTTGGGGCCGTTTTCAAGCCTCCTCAGGCTCTGTCGTGGCATCTTGGGGCCGTTATCAGGCATCATATGTTCGCCGAACCAAAAAATTGCCCAAGCCCCCGGAACCATGAAGATGTTGTTGACTGAGTCAGCCCTCTCAGGGGCATCTCTGGCATCTCTGGGATGCTTTGGGTCCACCTCGGAGCTGTCCTGTCCTCCTGGAGCCATGCTGGAAGCATCCTTGTGCCGACGTGGCCAGTCGAGCACCATCTTCAAGGCCTGCCTTGTTTTGCTCTGCCTTGTCTGGTCATGGCTGGTCCACGGCGGGACGGAGGGCACCCCGGCTCCATGATTGTTGGCGCCGGAAGGAGGCTGGCCCACTAATATCGGAAAAGTCCTCCAAAGGCGTCTGGGCCCTAAGGCTGCATCGGAACGCAAGGTGCCAGAAGGCCCCACCGCTGCTTCATGGCTTCAGACGGCTTTCCTGTTGACGCCAACTGGTCAAGTTGTTTATCGTCTGCCTCCAGCATGGTTCAACCAGTCAGAGTTTTGGGGGGCGACGTAACATGCGGCGGGTCATGAATGCAAAACGATGATTGTTCTCGAAAGTGCTGCACGCAACGGCAGCTACATGTTAGCCAGCGTGGGCCCCAAACGCTGTCTCTGAGAACGCAGGTTGCGCAACCGCTGTGGACCAGTCCATGTGCTGCAATCTATGGTGTGACGCTAAAAAGGTGCATTTTACGTTGTGCAAATGAACATCCGCACTGGATATGGCGCAGTCTTTAAAATGCGTTGAAGAGTATGTATTGTTTCGTAGAACAACCGACGTGATGCAACTTAAGTTGTGCAGCCGATGTTGTGCAGCATGTGTGGTGCATTCTATGATGTGCAATATGTGTTGCGCGGCATGCGTGGCGCAACTTTTTTTGTGTATTCGATGTGATGCAAGCTGCGTTGTGCAAAATATGGTGTGCATCATGTCTAGTGCAGTATACGTGGTGCAATCGACGTGGGGCAATCGATGTGGAAACAATATATGTGGTGCACCCCCGGCTGTGCAATTTATACTTTGCAACCGATGCTGTGTAGTAGCAGTGGTGCGGTCTATGAGCCGCAGTTCGCCCTGCCAAACTTGAAGTTGTCAATCCTACTACTCGCGCAACCATCCCACCCACCTACCCACCCGCAGCCGGGTAGCGATTGCGATAATGGTTGCGAACGGTTTTCAATAATATATAAAACTTTCCGGAGTGGACGATTTGAACAATATATTCGCGGGCTTTCACGCCACCGAAATAGCGGGAGCATGACCCGAGGTGGGGCGTCCAAGGACAGGGGACAAGGATTTGCTCCAACGCCGTGGCGCCGCATGGCTCTCTCTCTCTCTATCACTCTGCAATTTTCGGTAATCAAGTAACTAGCTGACTTGTGTATGTGCTAATTCGTGGGGGTCTGTGCCAAAGCTGGGGATGCTGATAATGGAGAAGAACTAATGATTCTATATCTCTCTTCCCTCCCTCCCTCCGTACCTGCGGTTTTTCTATATATATTTATAGATATAGATATATCCTGAAGGCAGGGCCTTCGGCCAGAAGGGGCGGTTTGGCCTTCGCGGGGCTCCGCACTCTGATTTGAAGTTTTGGACGGCGTTTGTGGGCCCATGAAGGTCAGATACCTGAGCGCCCTCGTTCGAGGGCCGTCTCAGTCTAGATTTGACGAAATGCTCTGAAATTTACTGGGGGCCGGCGCCCCACGTGTAGCCTGTGCTGTTGGAACGATTGGCCGTCTCGTCTCTGTCTGCTTGTGTCGTATATTCAAGCTTGGTTGATCTGTGCTCTCCTGTTTACGTAGGCCTGTCGGCCGCCTCCGTCTGCCCCCCCAAGCTCTGGCACAAGAGGCCCCCCCCCCGTACAGCTTGGTTTAAATGCGTGTTTTCCAAACGCTGTTTTCACTGCTAGTACCCCCCTCCCCCGTCGCCGCCTCGTCGCCGCCCGTCTTTTCTAAGGAAGTGGGCCTGCTTGCTCGGTCCGGCGCCTGGTTGTCGCCTCGCCTCTCCGTCGCCGCCTCGTCGCCGCCGCCTGGTTGCACCCCCCTGGTCGCATTGCAATCGCATTGCAGTGCAATCGCATTGGGTGGCAATCGCATTGCGCCACACTACGTTGCCTTTGTGATATGGATGGCGCGCGCGGCGCGACGATCTTTAGGCGAAAGAGAGCGCTGCTCAATCTATCTGCGTAGCTCTAAGGCCAAGGGCCCTAGTTCGAAACAAAACGGCAGCGGCACGAGCGGGCGTGAGGGATAGAGCGGGGATGCAGGAAGGGCACGGGGAGTGAGCGGGAATCACACTCCTCCTGATTGACGCTCGCGGCGCCGTCGAGCGACGATCATTGATCGCAGCTCACTTCATTAATCAGAGCGCTCTCAAAACAAACACAGGCAAACGGCCCTGTCGGCATGCTATCCGGCTGCCCCGGGGCATTTAACGGGTGCTGCTACACGCACCGGCAAGAAAGACATAAATTCTCAAAACGGCAGCGGCGCGAGTCCGATCGCTATGCGACAAAACTCAAATAGCGCTGTCTTATCAAAATAAAATCTCAATAGTGTGGTCGTCACCACATAAAAGGAAATCTGTGCACACTGAATGAAGCTTCGAACAATGCGGACTAGCGTAGTATGCCACAGGGTGTGGCGCCAAATGTAAAAAAACAAGCTGGTAAGACAATTCGGATTTGCGCAATCTGCCACACGATGTGGCTCCAGGTGTAAAGGAAACGAACTGACAAAGCGGTGCGGACTGACGTAATCTGCCACAGGATGTGGCGCCAAATATAAAACGATGGCGTGCTCACG